AGCTGGGATGCACCAGGGTTGGAGTGGGAGCCGGAACATGTCCCTGGCTGTGAGCGGGGATGTGCCAGGGATGGGAGCGGGAATGGGAATGTGACCCTGGCTGTGGGGTGGGATGGGACGGGAGCGGGAATGGGAACGTGTGCCCGGCTGTGAGCCGGGATGCGCCAGGGATGGAGGGGCCCTCGGGGACCCCTGCCCCACGCTTGGTGCCCGCCGTGAGCGCCTTGAGAGCAGTAACTGCCCCGCTGGGACCCTCCTTCCTCGTGTTCCAACCAGCCACCGCCGCGTGCCGGCTGGGTCACACATGACACGGCTCATGTCGGGTCAGGAGTTTATTTGAAATAGGGCTACATTAGAAAAACTAGATTTTTTTTTTTTCACTCTAAAATATCAAAACTTATAAACTTTCCTTTGCTGCATGGAGGTTGTTCATGTGCAGGGTGTAAAACGCCCACGGCTCGGGGATATAGATCACGCCTGGGTATTTCTTCCTGAGAATTTTGTCGTTCCACAGCCACATCACCCAGACAGCAATGAGGAGCAGCGTTATGATGAAGGAGTAGAAGAGGAAGAGGCCGTTGCTGTCCAGGACAAGTCCTTTGCGCTTCTGGTGCATCACCAAAGCCATCATGGCAAAGAAAGTGAAGATGTAGAGGATGAAAATCTGCCCCTCTGTCACGAGATACCTGCAACAACAAACACCCGTTAGTGCAACAGCAGCAGCTGGTGCTGCGGGGTGAATGTCCAACCCGGGGGCCCTCTTGCAGGGCTGGGACCACAGCAGTGAGAGCTGCTCCTGCTGCCACCGCAGGCCCCCGTCCTAGATTGTCTCCAGCAGGGCTGCACGGGGCTGCACGGAGCCCCTCGCTGCTCCTCTGGGCACGGGGGGCTGAAAGCGCCACCCCCGTCCTGGGTCCTGGCTGGATCCAGCTGGGATACCCGGACGTTCCAGCGCAGAGTCCTGCTGCTCCCCCTGGGCTGCCTGGGGCTGGCGGGGGGCCCCGACCCACCTTCCTGCCTGGGACCAGCTGCTCGGGGGCCTCCTGAGCTGCCGGCTGCGGCGGGGAGTGCGTCCTGCTCCAGGCCGTGTCCGTCTGTCCGCATCGCTCGGTCCGTCTGCGTCCGTGTCAGTCTGGCTGTGTTGGTCCGTCTGTCTATGTCTGTGTCATCTGTGTCAGTCCGTGTCAGTCTGTCCGTGTCTGTGTCAGTGTGCCCGTGTCTGTCAGTCCATGTCACTCTGTCTGTATTGGTCAGTCTGTGCATGTCTGTGTCAGTCTGTCTGTATTGGTCCGTATCACTCTGTCTGTGTCAGTCTGTACATATCGGTCAATCCATCTGTGTCCGTGTCCGTCGGTCTGTGTCCGTTGGTCCGTATCGGTCCCTGTCCGTCTGTCCGTGTCAGTCTGTCCATGTCGGTCAGTTCGTCTGTGTCCGTGTCAGCCTGTCCATGTCGGTCAGTCTGTCTGTGTCCATGTCAGTCTGTCCATGTCAGTCAGTCTGTCCGTGTCAGTCTGTCCATGTCGGTCAGTTCGTCTGTGTCCGTGTCAGCCTGTCCATGTCGGTCCGTGTCCGTGTCCCTGCTCGGCGGCCCCTCTCTCGCCTCCTTCCTGCCGCAGCAGTCGCTCCCTGGAGCTGCCCTACACTCTCCTTCCAGCCCAGGGGCTGCTCCCTGCTCCTCCTCTACGAGAAATGGGGAAGAATCGTTACCAATTCCACTTCGTTCCCTGCCCGGCCTCCTCCCGAGCATGGCCCAGCACAGCGCGCTCGGCCTGCGAGGGGCCGAAGGGGCAACGAGCTCCTCAGGGCTCCCAGGAACCGGCATTTGGGATGGGGGCTCCCGGGAGAGCCTCTCCGCAGGGCACGTGGAGCTGGAAAACGGGCAGCTCCTTGAACGGACCCGCACGGAGAGGCTGCCGGGAGAAGGGAGGCAATTCCGCTCGCTTGGGCTGAAATTGCCAGCACAAACTGCGGGGTTTCAGGCTGATGTGTTTAAAGGAAGTGCAAGGGGGTAACTGGGAACTGACCAAATCATCCTGATGATTCCGACTATCAGGAATTAATTTACTGTATAAAAACAGTCTCAGCAGGGGGTGACGCCACAGGCAGGAGAACATTGTCTCTGAAGATGAATGACAAGTTGTTTGGCTGCCATCAGGGAAACCATTGGGGAAGATGAAGCTAATGAAAATGGGAAATAAATAAGACCTCTCTCAAAAGGCTATTTGGACCCGCAGGGTGAGACGAAGAGGCAGCCTAGGAGCATCACACAAACGGGCTCCACAAAAGCTCCAGAGGGCTGAGGAGCCCAGGAATGAGCTGGGTGGAAGGGGACGAGGTGCAGGGGAGCCCCAAAACCTGCAACGAGCACGGGCTGCTGAGCCAAGAGCAGAGGGGACAGAGGGCAAACACTGCGGAGGCCACGGGCCCGAGCTCCGGAGATGAGAGCCCCTGCATTGGGATTCCTGGAATGTGGAGGAAAACCAGAGCCGTGGCTGTTCACCAGGTGGGTCTGGGTGACGGTGCGTGCCAGGAAGGCTGTGCGGGATGGAGAGGGCTGTTGCTCACGGATGAACTTCCCTTGGATGAGCAGGGATGGCTCCTCCGCGCCGTGTCCTCCCTTGTGACTCGCGGGGTCTTTGCCAGCAGGGTTGAGGCTCCCCTCTCCCAGAGAACCTACCTGCTCCCACGTCAACAGCCAGCTGGGGACAGGGTGGGTGACAAAGCAGCAGGGGAAGCCCGAGCCGGCCCAGCTGAGCTCAGGCCCAGGCGGCTGGATTAGGCTCAGGAGGCTGCACATTTCAGATCTGATGTGGTTTAAGCGGCAGCAAATTGCACTGTGGTGAGGAGAGGGCTCCTGGCTGCGCTCTGCAGAGCCGCCCGCGTGGTGCCCGGGACGCGACGGGCACGGGGCACTTACCAGTAATAAAGGCTGCTCGGCCCCATCAGCAGTAACGCAGCCAGGGGCATCCTGCTCTCTTCTTCAACAGGAGTGAAGCAGCCGGTGAAATATATGAACAGGATCAGAAAGAAGGGGATGTACCTGTGAAGGGAAACACAGCTGCCGTGAGGGGTGTGAGCGGGAAGCGGGGTGCTCCGTCCTGGAGCGTTCCCAGCTGGATCGAGGCCTGGCCGGGTGTCTGCAGGTGTTGATCCCTTTGGTCTACGTTACGGCCTCGGAAGCAGCGAGGGAACCGAGATCCTTGTGGTAACTGACTCTGCTCCTGTTATTTCACCACAGAGCAGCCCTCGGCTTCCAGCGCTTTGCCGGGTGCTGCTCAACACAGCGGGGCTCCGGGGGCTCCCGCAGGAGGAGCCGGAGTTGGCTGAGCTCAAACACCGCGTCCGAGCAGTCCAACAACGGCATCTGCTGCGCTCCCAGGCTCAAAAGGCTGCTGAGGTGCCTTGTGTGCGTTGAAAGCCAAACCACAGGAAAGCAGGACGTGGACCAGGACTTAAACAAAATAACAGAGTTCTGCCCCTGCTTTTTTTTTTCTTTTTAAGGATGGAATTTGCTTGCTTTGTCGTTCCTGAGGAACTGGAGCAGCCTGAGGGGAGAAGGACTTTGTGCATCCACAAGAGCCTGGGGGATTGAGCAGGAGATGAAGGGCCGGACGGTCCCTCCCTGGGGTCCTCCACATGGGCAGAGCCGCGATCCCAGCCCGGCTGGGATGCGGGACGTGTCCTCCACGGGGCTGCTCTGTCACCGTGGGAGCCAGGAGGGCCCGGGCAGCCCGTGGAGGGACACGGGGGTGCCCAACACATGGGGGTGCCCAACACATCGGCCGGGGACAGGAGCCCCACCTGGCTCATGCAGGACATGGGACCGTGGAGGCCTCTTCTTGGTGGTGCTGGAGCAGCCAGCACCATTTTTGCACTGTAAACTGTCTCTTTCTCTGGGCATCCCATAAAAGAGGCCACTAAAGGGAGGGGAGACATGGGCTGCCCCTCAGTTTGCAGCACCTCCTGAACTGCACGTCCTAGAAACATCAGTGAGGGCGACAGGGATGGAAAAAAATCACGGAAAGAGGCGGTTTTCAAAGGGAGAAATCCCCTGTAATCCCGCCAGCTCTAAGAACATTACTTCTAAACCTATCTCATCTGCTGTGTTTTGTTTTTTCCCCACATATTAAGATATAAGCAGATCTGCCTTTCCTCGTGTCCCATTCTGAGGCCACTAGATCCACTGCAAAATGCTTACCACATTGAATGACCTAAATATTCATCGTAGTAGTAGAGCAGCTCAAAGGAATCAATCTGAAATGCAACGAAACGGATTAAAAATGACACAGCAACAGTATACTATTAAAGAAGAACAAACAATTAATATTTTTAAGTGCTTGTATAAAGCACAGCCTCTTTACCAGTGTCTCTGGCTTCAAGTTTTTGATGATTGGGTTCTCTCTCACAGACAGGTGGTGCTGGTAGCCACTGAAAATCAAGCGATGGTTCACGGAGTCTCCGACCAAGTGGATGCTGGCTCCCATGACAAACACGATGATGCTGACGTACACCATGGACCTCGGCAGGGTCTTCGGGGACCTCTCAATGAGCTGAAAGCACAGAGACACGTGGAGCGCTGAGGAGGTATGAGAAGCATGATGCTGCAAGCAGGTCTGCCCCCTCCAACTTAATTATGGCTAGCAAAAAATCATCAAAAACCAAGCAAAATACTGGAGGTTACAGTGCTATAGCGGATCTGAGTTGCTGGGAAATGAACAGAGCCCATCGTGGAGAAGTCAGTGTGAGTGGAGCCGAGGAGAAGGTGCTGCCCTTGTTGCAGTTTTGACCCCACACACATCTCCGACCCTCCTCCTCCAGCCCACGGGGCTGTCGGGTCTGGCTGAGCCCTCCTGCCCCTCTGGGCCACGGCGAAAATGGACTTGGTGGCCTTGTTAAACCCCTCAGCAAAAACCACCCCTTGGAGTCAGTACCCAGACACAGTCATGCAGTGTTTCTAACACAGCACTCAAAGCAATTTATTCACCGGTTATGATCAAAAACATGATTAATTAGGACCAATAAAGCAGCTGCTTTCTGTAGTTCCTTTGCTAAATCTATTTGAAAGCCTCTCTGTGCCCTCCAGTGGTGAAAAGAACTTTTAGCATCACTCCAGCTGAGAGCACAGTGCCCCTAACTCCTTTGGTTAAGGGACATTTGCTCATGGAGAATTCTCTGCTAGATGTTTCTCAAATGTCTCTTTTTGAACCTTCCCCCCCCCCTTCCTAACAGAATTTGACTCTCTCTTCTCTGTGCATTTGCTTCTAAAGATGAAGCTTCATTTAAATCAAACAAATATATAGGAAAAAATCTATTTACCA